CCACAACTGGGTCCTCAATTTACCTACCTTAGAAAGGATGGAAGGCTGAGTCAACCTTGAGCCTTGGCGAGATTCGAACCTGCAGTAATTGCAGGCAGCTGGTCTTAATAACCAGCTTAATAACAGGGTGCCTTAGACCACTGTACTACCAAGGCTCTTGATTGATTGATTCATTCATTCATTCATTGATTCATTCATTCATTGATTGACTGACTGACACATCCTGGCCCTCCTTTAAAATCTCCTATTTTTGAACATTTGATAATTGATCGCTGGCTCAACCTTCTTCCTCAAATCAGAAAGAACCTGGTAAGCCCACCCCATGCTTTCAATTCTCACCTTTTAATAAAAAAAAAAAAAACAGTGAAATTTCTCTTTTTTAATAAAATGTGTGAGTCTGGAAAGGAGCTATCGGGCTTCTCTAGAATTGGCGGGACTAATGCGATTTTCCTTCCTAATAAATGAAAGTCACATTTGCTAAAGGAAAATGAAAAGTGGGGGGCTAACCTAAGCTCACGGGGCAAGCTTTCCCCCCCCCCCGGTGAATTAAAATGAATTAATTCATGAAATGAAATGAATGAATTAAAAATTAAAAGAGGGGATCTAAGACAGAAAAATCAACTGTGTCCCCTCGCATCAATCTCTTTAGTGGTGAGCTTTCTGTTCTGCCTATCCCAGGGTTTTTCAACACATATGTGGACTTCTACTCCCAGAATTCCCCAGTCAGCCATGCTGGTTGGGGAATTCTGGAGTTCAGATCCACATATCTTAAAGTTGCCCAGGTTAAAAGACACTAGGTTAAACTACTGCATGTACAGTATATGTCAAGATATATTCTCCCCAGTGTAGATAGTCCAAGGATAACCAGACGTCTAAGGTGGGACTAGAAGTCATCATCTCCTGATGATTGGCCCAAAGTCACCTAGCTTACTTTCATCCCTATGGCAGGACTAGAACTCACCATCTCCTAATGATTGGCCCAAAGTCACTCATCTGGCTTCCATGCCTAAAGTGGGACTAGAACTCCCAATCTCCTGGTGATTGTC